TTCAGATGGTTTCCTTTGCTTCCCTGCTGTCTGACTAGGGAACGAATCTAGGATCTCCTCTCCAAAACAGGGAGGCGGGATGTAAGGCTTATGCTGCTTCTTGTGGTTTAAAGGAGACAACTGAGACAGGTTCTCTCTTGTGCTATCTCCAAAACAGGGAGGCGGGATGTAAAGCTTATGCTTCTTCTTGTGGTTTAAAGGAGACAACTGAGACAGGGAAGAACAGGAAAACATGAGAAAAAACAGAAGACGCTGTGTATATTTGCTCCCTCTTTTCAGTCCCCAAGGCTCTTTATGTCTATACCCTGTACAGCTTGTTGCATGTGCAAAACATACTCCGTTGTCCCCGTGCTTGTGATCATACTGTTTCCTGCTGGTTTTACCTAGTTCTGCCATCATTAGAAAGCAAAGTGTGGGAAGCAAGACCTGTTGCTAAGGAGCCAGACAAAATATACAAATAAACTAAAGAAATTGTATTCCGGAGGGCCTTCGCTGAGATTTGTGTGGCCTCATGACATCTAATTTTGTAATGATCTTGTAGTGATCTTAATGCTGTATTTTCCTGACACTCTTGGGTACCCTCTCATCTCTCAATACAGCTTCCAGCAGTACACCAGCATAACAGAAAAAGGTGTACTGACATTCTGCTCTTCTGGCTGCCTTAGATCATGTCAAATATGCAGCAGAGTCTTAATATCTCCTTGCTGTGAAGGCAGCTGGCTTTGGTCATCAGTCTAAGCTCAAACAGTGAGTATGTGCTATGCCCAGTGCCATTGGGGTGCTAACTATTCGTATTTCTTTTTTACCGCACTGAGGATTCCTTTGGAGACTTCACTTATACTTTGGACAAAGCTGCTTAAGCTTCAGCTATGTGTAACCAAGCTGCTGATGGGTTTTATGATAAAACCGAAATACAATATACTAAATACTATGCTAAACAAAATAAAAATCTAAGGCTGAACTGAATGCTTGAACTTGAAACATATACATGTATTATCTCATGGTACTGCAGCTGTAAATCTTCCAGCCTCTCTTCACCGATTTCCTGAAAGTTGAATGCAGCTGTACTTAGTGCTGTAGCTGCAGTTGAAGCATGTTCAGGTAGAGTTGATTTGCAAGCTCTGACGAACGAAAATCCATCATACTCTCTGTGCATTTTTTTTCATCTGTGATTTAGAGTATTACGTGTATTGTGGTCATGTCCAGTTTAGAGATGCAGAGTTAAGGATTAAATGCTGTATTTGTGTGAATCTCTGTATTTCCAGAATTTACAGATGTTTGAGTGTAGCTGAGCCCTAATATTCTTGTTCTCAGGAGGTAGCCTTCACACGGTCTCATCCAAGTTTTTGGGCAACTGATTCCCCTGCCAGTGATGCATCTTTAAGCTATGCAGGTTCCTAAATAATTATCTTGTGCTCTTGCATCCATGGATCCAGAAATTGCACAGATTGTAGTTTTGACATTTTTAGGTAGAAACTGGCCCTGGTGTTCCAATTTCATGAACATGCTGGTTCCCTGGCATGCCAAACCTTGCACCCATCTGTTAAAGGGCACTTTGCCCGCATGCCTGTTAGCTTGCCAGTTTCTCACAGGCATAAACTTTAAATTCCACCCAATAAGAGAGAGGAAAATGACACTCCTGCACAGTTGTCCTTTCTATAAAAAAGCAGTGGCCCTTTAGGGTCAGGAGCTTTACCTCCAAAGAGTTCACTCTATAGATTCCTTTGAGCATTAGATCAATGAATGTCATTTGTTCTGGTATTTCTTTCTCCCCTTGGCTGTTATTTTTACCAGTTTTTCTGAAAATCCAGTTGACAGTTTTGATCTTTGTTCTAAAAAAAAAAAAATTCCTTGCCACTGAGAGTGATGGAAACATACACAATGTATAGTAAGTTAGCATGGTGCTTTGGTAACATAAAAAAAAATGTATTGATACAAATGCAGATCCTTTTTTCTATGGTCAGAGTCCTTATAGGCTTAAAATGGTGAATAGCTATTTCTGTAATGCATCTAGCTTCTGTAGTTCTTGTTCATCTGTACTGTTTATACTGTTTATCCTTCTATTCCTAGAGGCCCCTTGGCTAGGAAATAAACACTTTGTCTGCATAAGATTCTTCTTTGCTACAGCTGTCAAGCAGATTGACAATGTATTTATTGTTGAAACTTACAGATAAAATAACTTATGCCTTGTAATCACATGGGACGGTTTTTTGTGAAGAAAATCACTTGGAATAGCTGTAAAAAGCACTACTTCTAATTCTACAAATTCTGGTCTTGAATGGTATATAAATAGGTTTTTGTCCTGTTCTCAGTGCCTGTTGTTCTAAATACATGAAGGAATGCTGCTGCTTTATTGTGATGCAGTTGCTTTTACTTTTATGCACTGTAAAATGGGCATTAATGTATTGAGTTAATTTTACACTCCTCTGCTCTGGGACTCACCAGTGTTAATCAGGGTGTTTTCGTTGCTGGTGCGAGTGTCTTGCCATTGTAAATCTGTAGTTTGCTAGTTGAATATTTCAGTGAGATGATGGTAATTATTACTAGCATAATAATTAGTCACTTCAAAAGAGAAAATGAGTTAATCTAGCTTTTGTAATTTTTCAACCTGCGTTGTTTAAATTTCAGATCACCAAACATTGGGTTCTGAAGTGTTTAACACCAAAACTACTGAACTTTTGACTCTTTCAGTAGAGACAAAAATTCTTCAAATTTTACAGATTAACGGCATTTTCTTCCCACCTGTGGAATTTGGAAGGGGCTCAGTGGTGCTGTTAAAGTCCTCTGTATCCTTTCATTCAGTCCTCCTCATGCTGTTAGATTAAAACCAAACCAAAACAACCACTTTCGTGTGGCACTGAAGCAACTACCTGATTGGTTTTGGTGTAAATATATAAAAATTGGCCGCCTGCTTTGGAGCTTGACTTGTAACTGTTATGAGATGGAGTCTTTAGGGCTGTTATAAATGTGATCAGTTACCAGACCATCGGGGCTGGGTAAAAATTGTTCTGGAACACAGTTCAGCAGTCTTAACATTGGGGTTGTCTAAAAGGTGTGGGTTTTTCCCTAAGGGTAAGATTATGATGTTACAACTATTACCTATCTACTAAAATACGTCTTTATGAAGAAGTCTTCCCCTCTCCCCTCTCGCTGTTCTTGCTTTTTTAAAAAAAGACTTAAGGAGGTGAAGGGACGGCAACTTGCTTTGCAGTACTAAACTGACTTTGCAATAGAAAGGTTTCAGCTTCTATCAAAACAAAGTGGATTTTGCCTAAAATGTGTGTCAAAGGATTAACCAAAAAGGAATAGTAGTTAAATGAAGAACGGTTGATGTTGAAGAGCTGTAGTCTTTCCCATTTGAGAATGATTGTGTCTATACTGCTCAACTGCACAGCAGTCTTAAAAATCTGACTCAGATTGAAGGATAAACTATTGGTTTTGTACAGTCTTTTATGAAGGACTGCACTAATTTAATTTAATTTGGTTTAGGAACTCTGCTTTAGTGCCTGCAGTGGCAAGACCTTTGAGGCCTGTCACTGTTCTGAAAGCTGTGTGTGATAGGCAGCAGTTGTTGGGTGTCCCTTACAAATACCAATATTGCCTGCGGTTCATGCTTCCTTGAAGTGGAATCTTGGCATGTCCAGATTCCTACTTTTTGGAGGGGGAGAGAAGTCGGGCAGATCATACGTTCCTGGAAAAGATTATTTACTGGGAAGAGTACTTCATCCTTCTTTTGGCATGCCTTGCTTTATGGGCTGACCTTTTTATCCAGGCTGGATTGATGCTGAAGCACCTACGGTAGTGTTATTACATGAAGTTGCTTGTTACTTCTCAGTGGACACAATTCTTCAGAACGGTTCAACATCTCGCGTGGTAGCTTAGGCTGAATACACAGAATGAAGCCTTTGGAGACCAACAGTTACTTGTGATAACTTGTTTCCTTTCAGTGTTCAATATATAGCATATATTTTATTCATACACGTCCAAAAAACAAAGCGCCGAACACAAACCACCTCCTTTCTATCTGTATTATAAGGACCAGTGAATCATAATTACCTGCTATGAAGTGTGGGGGCATCATTTTATGACTTCACTAATCCTGTTGTGTTGTGTTTTTTGTTTGTTTTGTTTTGTTTTTTCTTTCGTGAAAGGAAAAACAAGAATGGTGGTGGCTATATATTGCAGATCGGAAGGAGCAGATGCTAATATGTATGCCATACCATGTTTGTACACTAAAAGATAAAGAAGAGGTAAAGTACTTGAAGAGTTTTCTTTCGGGGTATTACAAAACTGTACTGAAGTGTCTTATGGTATGCAAATACATTTAGATTTTTTCATAGTTACCTCTTTAAGATGGAAAACAAATTTTACTCTCCTGATAGAAGTAGAGAAGAGCCTTTGAACTGTGAAAATCTATAATGGAGAAAGAAACAATAACTCTCAAGCTTCTTATCAGGGGAAAGAAAACCATTCTGCAATCAAAAGCTGATGAAAACCAGTATTTGTACACAAAGATCATTCTTAAAGAAAGTTTTTTCAAATGTGTGAGAAATACTAAGTGTTCTTTTTCTGTAAAGCAGAGGCTGTGACAAATTAATTAGCATTGGCTCATATGAACCTTTCAGAGACTGTAACCTTTGGCTGTGTTCTTTGCTTTTCTGAAAAATGGAGATTTGATGTATTTTGTTCTTTCAAACTAGATTTTATGTTCAGTTTTAAATAACAGTATACTTAGGCTAATGCTTTCAGCAGACTAAATATTTCAACCTGTTAGGGTTTTTGAGATTTAGGAAGCATACAACAGGGTGAAACTGTGTGCTTAATGTAGTTGGTCTAATTCAGAAAAAAAAGTGACTCTGATTATTCAGCTTTCATGGAAGGTATTGTGCTTGGGTATTCTGTCTCATTCCTGTGGGCATTTTATTATGTAGAGATTTTCAAAGAAGTGTCACTTGTAAGAAACTAAAACTTTTAAAGGAAAAAAAAAATTAATCTGTAGTAGTATTTACTGCTCATTAGAGTACTTAGGCACTTGTTCTAACGTATCACTTGAAAGCAGTAAGAACTTAGGGTGTGAATTCTGTTTTGTAGGTAGAGCTGAAGTTCCCAGCACCAGGCAAGCCTGGAAACTATCAGTACACAGTTTATTTAAGATCGGATTCATATATGGGATTGGACCAGATTAAACCACTGAAGGTGATGTTTAATTGTGTTATGTATTTATATTATAATGGGAGCTACTTCGTATGGCTATTAAAACCCCAGAAGTCCTGTTATCTTTAAGAATCCAAGCTGTCCTAATTTTAAAACAGTGGCAAGGAGGGACAAGTGGTTTCTACCTGATGCCAGTAGTGGCAGTTTTATGATGGGACGGAAGTTTGTGACGCTTTCTGGTGCCTGATAATTTAATACACGTTTTCTCACTTTTATTCAATTTCTGCAGTATGGCTGGCTCTGGCTTTATACCTTGAGGTCTGCCGTGCTGTTTCCCTGCCCTTAGTCCTAGATACATCCAGTTAATGAGAAAAATCTGGCATGCCTTATTTCTGGAAGCAGTTGTTGGTTTTGGTTGGGGTGTTTTGCTGTTTGGGGTTTTTTTGTTGTTTTGTTTTTTTTTTTTTTAACTGTCATGTAATTTGTTTTGGTTTGTGGGGTTTTTTTGTTTGTTTGTTTTCCCAAATTGGCATGTATTGTCTGTAACCCTTTTGTCCTGTCTTTTTTCTTTGTCCAATTACAGCTGGAAGTTCATGAAGCAAAACCAGTGCCAGAAAATCATCCACAATGGGATACAGCAATAGAAGGTGATGAGGACCAGGAGGACAGCGAGGGCTTTGAAGACAGTTTTGAGGAGGAAGAGGAAGAGGAGGATGATGACGATTAAACAATACTGTTGATTGACTACAATATCTGCACACACTGCAAACTCTTGGTCTGACTGTGGAACTGTACAGTAACCAAGAAACACAGTACAGAAGCTTTGAGAAGGCTGAGTTTAATTTTTCTTTACCAATTAAGAGTGCATTATGTAACTTCTCAGTGGAGGTGAAACAAATCTGTTGCCATTGATACACCTTGGGATATGCTTATGGCTCATTATAGCCTTCAAGTGCAGGATGGTGCATTTGTTTCAATTGAAAATAAAAGCTTTTTTTATTATAAATGTCCGAAAGTGTGGGCTATGTATTGTCTGATCAGTTTAGGGTCCAATTTAAATAAGAGGTACTATTAGCTAGAAGCAAACTTTAAATCAACTTTTCTGCATTAGGAATTTATTTTAGAAAACGTTTTGGTATATTTGACATTACAAATCTCTGTTGATTGAAACAACATCTGCTCAACTTTCAAACTCTTATTGGTTCTGTGGTATTCATTAAATATTTTGCTGTGATACTGCTCACGTCATTCATAGCTTTAAAAATCTGTTTTACTTAACTTGATCATTATAAATTGGCATCATACCCATTGCCACGTTCCACATATTCTGGAGGGCTGCTTTTTTAGGACTGTTGCCTTTTTATGCCCAAGATTATAATGGAAATCATAAACTTTCTTGACTCTGCCATAGGATACTTATTAATGGCTTAAAACATTTTTAAGCCTTTATTTCATCAGATCAGAAGATCTGAGTCTTTTGATAAACAAAATGTCTGAAAGCAATTTTGGGACCATGTGTTATGTAGTTTGGTGGCTTTTGTGTAATGCCTTTATAAAAGGTACATGCTGAAAGCCGAAGTATGTTCTTAACTCTGAATCTGCCTGACACTGTCGGAAACATTTTAAAGGTAAAATACAACATGCAAAGAGGGCATGTTTTGTATCAATTTTGAATTCCCATCAATAAACTGGACAATTTGATGGCTGTTTGCATTTGTAATAGTGTGCATCTCTTTGTCTGAGTTTTTTTACCTCAGTCTCCTGCAGGGTTGTAAGCAAGACAGTGATTCTATCCCTACCCCGTTTTAAAAAAACCAAGTCTAGTTAGAGAATAAATTCAGGGAGGAGAGAATCAGGGCTGTTAGTGTACTTTATGATTTGACAGAAGCCATGGATGGATTCTTCCTTTTCTTCCTCTCAATAAAACAAATGGAAGTGATTAATTAAAGTTGTATTTCTGTATTTCAGAAATACATGTGAGTGGTGTTCTGCAAGTAGGAACAGACTTATTTCTGTTCCTATGGATTGAACTATGAAAATGTGATGCTGTAAAACGTGACAAATTGTCATGCAGGAAAACTTCCATCCTGTGAGAATTGCCCAAAGCCAGAATAGGTGCACACTAATTTGTGACCTTGTTTATTAGAAAGGGTTGTCACTTTAATTGCAAATTTACATTGTTATAGTCTTTGTAATTGCCATAGTTGCAAATAAAACTGGAAAGTGTTCTAAATGAGATTATGGTATCTTTCAAAGTACTTCTGAAGTGCATATTGTGCAGGAAAAACTCTTGTAAAGCATAAGCAGTGTCAGGTGTTCAAACTGAAGAATGAAGACTAGGTTTGAATTAAATTGCTTTTACACTTGATGCCTTTTAACTCCGGTTTTTATGTGCAAAATACAGTAGAGAAATAACAATAAAAACCACTACTGGCTTTCCCGAGACTTTCAAGCCAAATACTGCACTGATGAGAGAAATGCTTGAGGAAGAGTCACCAGACTCCTTATTATCAAGTAGGCCAAATGAATGCTTAAACGTAACATCATTCTGTGGGAAC